TTCTTCAGGAAAGTCAGTAGCAGACACTATTCCCCTCCTGTTCTCCTTTTACTCCATTCCTGCAACAGTCCTCAGGTGGGTCTCCCATGCCCAGAACCACACTGACTCAGTTCAGCTGGGTGTTTTCACTCAAGTGGACCCTTAATCCACCACAACCCCAACTGTGATAATAGAAATGAAACTATTTCTTGCATTATCCTTTATTTGTATTTATTTCTACTACTAGACTGCCACTTCCTTAAGGATAATGTTTCCTTTGTAGTAGTGTCTGTATGACTTAACTCAGTGCCTGATTAAATACATTCAATTTTTTTTCTTTAATAGATTAAGTCTATAGAGTAAAGTAATTTAAAGAATCAAATTTATTTTTCAGTGACATATAGATAATAGTACAGATATGTGTACTGTTGTACTATTTCCCATACTTCTCTCTAAATATGTTAGCAATAAGTTTAACATGACAAAATGAAAGAATTTTGAGGACAGAGTACATGAAAATGGTAAAAGCCAAGGTGATCAGTACTTAAGGTGATTTCTCATCTTATAATCCAATGGGGAAATTACTTATGACACATTCTTACTGAGCCAATACTAAATTTTAAAATACTTTTTAGCAAAGTCTGACCAACTGTCATGGCTAATAGTCTGGAGTTGGCATATGGAACGAAACCTACATGCTGGCCCAGCTGCTTCCTCTTCCTTTTTCATGTAAAGAACATCCACTTTCTTTGCCTATAGTTCACCAACATTGTTCTAAAAATATATTCAATTTCACCAATAAATTAAAAGTGAAATTTTAATTTTTAATACATTAAACTTAAATTTATGTCCAACTCTTAATTATAAATCATTTCATCTGCCATTGGAGTATAGTTTGATTTTTTAAAAAATATTGAAACAGTTCTGTCTTACATACAATGTAGAAAAGAGTTCTCAATTTTGTGTAGCTGGAGTTTTGCCTACATATTTCTATGGTTCATTGCACAGCATGGCCTACTGCTAGATTTTTTTAAAAAATTCTATCTGATGTAAAACATTGTTTCATGCCCTCTAACCACATTATAGTTCTTTATGTCTACTTGGTCAATAACTTGATAAAAGTAAATTTTTAAAGAATTAAGTGGCAAATATTTTTCTTAATTTATTATTCTAGTAAATCAGTATTCCCTTAAAATAATTTTATATTTATGTATTATATTAGTTCTTGAATTTTTATCACTTCTTTGATGATTTTACATATTTAACTTTTATTTTATTTTATGTTTTCCAATCTCTTCTTAACTTTTTGTTTTAGATTTTAAAAATTTATTATTAATCTGTCCATTGAGATAGTTATTTCAGAGGCCCCCAGAGCGAGGGCCTGCAGCGCCCTGGGAGCCACGGGCGGGGAGCTCCGGCCTTCCAGCTGGCTAGCTTTCTACCTGGTAGGCGCCCTGAGGGAGGGCCCCTGGCGAGTGCTGTTGCACGCCGGCCCTTAGGCCGGCCACTGCCGATCAATTGAGAACTATCAAGACACAGAGAAACAATGATGCAATTGGCCCACCATGCACCAACTGCAGTTGCTCACCCTGGGACATGTGTGAAACATTCAAATGGAAAAACCCCTGGGAATGCATGCCATACAATGAGTATGCCATACATACTCTTGCTCCTGCCATTGAGAAACAGAAAGGTCCAGAGTCAGCAGAGGAGCAACTGCTAAACAAGGACTCAGAGAACATGAGAATGCAGACTAAGCCCAAGGAGTC